AAAAAAAATCATTTGAGATGTATCAGCACATGGGAAACAGGACAATCTGTGCCTGTTGCCAAAGTTGTACAAAATTTTATTAGGGAGAAAGGGAGCATGGCAAAATCACAACAAGGAGACAGATCAGTGGGTTTAAGCCCCCTCCGGCTAGCCTGTTTGCGGCTGGACCTGTTTAGGGAAAAAGCAATTGTATATAGTATAATATGGGAAATAATGATTATAGCTGATATTTTTCTGTCTTAGTATCATATTGGAGGAGCAAACTGATGCAAGGGAAAACAATAAATGAAAGGAAAGAAAGATGGGGAGAAAATCACAAATGGGTCTTTATTTTGCTATGGGGGTGGTGTGGGGGTGGAGTATGTATGGAGATTTTAAAATCTTGAAAGATACATATAAAGATGGTGGTAGTATTGATTGGAGACTGATTCCATTGTATTAGAGGATGTAAAGGTGTCGGGAACAGTTCATAGAAATAGATTGTAAAGACAATAAATTCAGGGAATGTGTATGGTTCACTACAACTTGACAGAAAAGCAAAAAAACAAAGATGAGAAAATTGCAGAATATTTATATTCTTACAAACCCCAGAAATGAGGTGAGCCTCGCACACAATTGGAGTCTGACCCAATGGATTAGCAATTCCAAAGGAAGCTGGATTGTCTGTACCAACTTCCAGTGCCCTGGTGTCAGGGCTTGATCCCCAAGAAAATGTAGTAAACATGATGTGGTCTGGTTAAGCCCACCTGGAAGAGTGGGGGATGGGCTCGTGGTACAGACCAAGATAAAGCCATGTGGGAAATAATTTGAGCCGAATAAAATAAGGTTAACTTCAGCCTACACTCTTATGAGAGCATCTGGGCATCTTTTTTCCCAAAGGCTGACACCTTGTTTCTCCTACTATCTTTGACCAAGACCAGGTTGGTAATAAATCATATAGTCACCCATCCTCTTTGACTCCTCTGTTCTACCCACTGCCATCACTGCCAGGACTGAGAAAATGAGTCATCCCCTTCGCCCAAGCCCTGGTACAGACTGGTCCATCTGAGCCTCCTGCTGTGTAGATGACTCTCCTTCCCTTACTATTGCCGGAAGAAATGGGTCCACCCAGAGAAGGAAGACAACAGGAGTTAACAAATGGCAAAGAATAAATAAGAGTTGATCTTACTATATTCAGGGTGATATATGAAGTTGGCTTCTACCACTCTGTTGTTCAGGGGCTGGGTCCTCCGGTAATCATTGCGGAGTGTCTTGTTGTGGCTATCCAACAGTGAATTCTCTAGCTTCCAAACCTGCAGGCAAGATGAAGTGCATTATGGAGAGGAAGAGGCACTGGGTGATTTTTAAAAGTTAGTTAGAAATTGAATGAGATCTTGGATTTATATAATCTGATAAAGCATTTGCGAGATCTCGAGTCCAGAGGAGGTTTTGGGTGTTATGTGCCAGGCATAGCACATTCCATAGCATCCATTCATTCATCCGTTTGTTCTTCCAAAAATCTCTTTTAATCATTTTCTAAGAGTATTTGGTCAACAGTAGAAAACAGAGAAAGAAGTAGAGACCTATCAAGTAGCAAGATCAATTTTTATTTTTCTGAAAATATCTGTATTTTGTCAACATCCTTGAAAGAAATTTTTTTGCTGCATATACAATTCTAGATCAGCTATTCATTTCTCTTGGTGTTTTCAAAATATGATTCCATTGCTTTCTGACTTTCATTGTTGCTGTGTCGAATCAACTCTGTCTAATAGTACTCTTTTCATGATAATCTGTTTTTACTCTCCGGCTGATTTTTAAATATTTTCTTTGTCTTTGATGTTTTGTGGTTTCACTGTGATGTGTTTAATGTGAGGCTTTTAAAATATGTACAATGACTCATTGGGCTTACTGAATACATGACTTGGTCTCTTCTGGAAAATTGTCAGCCAATATTTCTCAAATTGTACCTCTGCTCTATACTACCTCTCTTCCCCTAGATTTTAATTAGACATTTGTTAAACTATTTCACTATATTCTCTGTGTTTCTTTACTTCTTTTTCATATTTCCATCTCTTTTTCTCTTTCTGCTGCATTTTAGATAATTTTCTCAGCTCTGTATTCCAGTTTACTAATTCTTTCCTGAACTACATCTAACATGCTATTAAACACACTCATTGAGCTATTAATTTCAGTTACTATCTTTTCATTTCTAGAAATTCTATTTGGGGATTTTTTCCCCCTAAATCTACTTGGTCATTTTTATACTTTATTGTTCTTTCCTCCTATTTAAAACTCTTAAACATTAAATACAGTAACACCTTGGATTGCAAATAACTTGGTTTGTAAGTATTCCGCAAGATGAGCAAACATTTCTAATACATTTTAATGTGGTAAACGAGCAATGTTTTCCAATACGAGTAGTTCGTTTCCAGAACTAATTATGCTCACAAACCAAGGTATTACTGTATCTAAATATATTCAATTATATATATTATGCATTTTATACATATTAAACATTCTATTTTATATTAATTGTCTGATAACTTCACTACCTGAAATCTTTGTAGGTCTGATTCTGCTAATGCTCACTCATAGTGCCTTTTTCCTTGTGTATTTTGTGATTTTTAAAAATTGAGCTCATTTCAGGTAATTTTTACTTGTGGGACTTCTTCAATATCTGGATTTAAGGTGCACTTTTTCAGAGATAATTTACATTTGCTTCTGTTGGGTATCTGGGGAAACTTCCAACCTGGCTGGGACATTTTTGTGTGTGGATATCCTTGAATAGGCGTCTTTCCACCTTTTCCTGGAGTGGGGAAGTGAACATTTTAAGAAAAAGGAATATTTGTTTCTAAGAACATCACCCAGAAGGAAATGTCAACTTTGCTTTCCAATCTCAGTTACATTTGTCCGTTATCTAACTCAGCAAATGTTTGTCATGTACCCATGATATGCTGGAGGACAAAGGATGACTGGTACAGCTAATCTCCTCAAACGGCTACAGGTATTATAGAATGGTAAACAGCTAAATGCATAAAGCCATTTATGAAGTTAGAATCTAAGCTCCATGAGCACAGGGGTTTTGTATACCGAGGGCCTAGAGCAGTGCCCCCAAGAGCAGCACTCAATAAATATTTGCCTTCATGATGCAACTCTTCTCCTCTCACCTGGATCAGCCTCCAGTCCATTTGCTGCATCAACTATGGTTCCTTGGGTTCCCTGATGCCTATGTGCCCATCTCTGCCACAGTGCTAGTATGATTGCCCATGGCAGTACAGGTGAGGCATGTTGCCATGTACATGGAAAACACCCTAGGGGCCCAGGGATTGACATTAGGTGACATTCGGGTGACTCTTGTTAACCAGGCAGTCAAAAGGGGAGACTTTGGTGAAGTCATGCCATGCATTACCTGTGCCCTGGAGAGCTTCACGGTATCTGACAGCACAAACCAGAGGACATTCTCGGTACAGGGAGGAGTGGTGAGTGACCCCCAGTAGCTGTAATAGTAGTAGAGGTTTGCAGGCAGCATGTCCTGAATGTCAAGGCCGCTCAGAACAGTGCTTTGTCCTAACAGAGGGGACAAGCAATAAAAGGATATTAGGAACCACTGCTGCCACTTAGGAAGACAGCTCAGGCTCAGACCTCACCAGATTCAAATCTCTTGATTTAAGCAGAAGCACCTAGAAACTGGTTATTGGGAAACATTTCCCCAGTTTGCTGCTTTGTGGAAGGGGTGAAGAGTGAAGACTTTGGGGAAAGACCTTCTCAGATGCCTCCTCCAGGCTGAGCGGCCCTGTCCAGATACTCACCCCTCTAAGCCTACTTCCTCATCTGTAAAATGGGAATAACCAGTAGGATTGCTCTGAGGTGAAGGGAAATGTGTTTAGAAAGTGCTGGCATTGACCCAGCACATAGAAAAGTCCTCATGAGTGGAAATGTCATCATCATTGTCATTGTTAGGCTGAGGATACGTATTATGGTAAATGGAAGAAATTAATTATGGCTCCTGGGGGCTTCTGGGTAAGTGCCCTCAAAGAAAAAACAAAATTCCTTGGTTTTGGCTCATTGAGAAGTAGGTGGATAGAGATTAGACAGGCAGAATCGGAACCAAGCGGGTGCCCAGGCTCAAGCATCTGGTCCTGAGCTCTTCCTGCCACACCCATTGGGGACCCAGCTCAGCCACAGGTGGGGTGTAGGAGAGGGACTTCCTCAGGGTGTCTGAAGCCTCCACAGCGCCCATAGCCATTATTGCATCTAGAGAGTTCCTTCATTCTAATCAATGATGCTGAGCCTCTGAGCTCAGCATGAGACTATCAAAGCAACATGGAATTCAGTTGAATCTTGCTTCACTTTCCCTGAGTACTTTTGCATTTTTTAATGGCAAAGAGAATATAGCTTTGATATTTACATAAATAGGCTTGTTAACCAATGCTATGAAGTCTAGTAATACATAATCTCATGAGCACACAAAAGATTTCTAAGTTTTATTATTGGAAAGGTTTTAAGATATAACCTTCTAAAGGGCTCTATTGCTTAAGTTTTGTTTCATAACCCCTAACATAATATATTTAAGTGAGTCAAGAATTCTAGAACCGTGGTGCAGCTGCTGTGGAAAACAATATGGCAGTTCCTTAAAAAAATTAAACATGGGGGCCGGCCGAGTGGCGCAATGGTAAAGAACTGGCTTGGGACGCCAGAGGGCCCCGGTTCGGATCCCACATATGAGGGCCAGTGACACTGCCCTCCACAGCTAAGATGCTGAACAACAGCTCAACCTGGAGCTGGGCAGCTGTGAGTCGCCGGCAACGGCGTAGGCTGCAGCCCCTGTGGCAGTGGGTTGCCATGGGCTACCGTATGTAGCCAGCAGCCAGCGTGAGCGGCCAGCAGCCGCAGTGAGCGACCGTCCAGAAGCCGGTGACTGATCTGCCTCGCCCGGGAAGAGCGCAATGATGGTGCCAACTTGGGCCAGTAAAGCAACGTCCTCCACAACTAGACTGAAGAACAAAACGACAGCAACTTGTCTGTTCCCCTTCCCCCAATTCCCCAGCACTGTTCCCATCCCCCTAATTCCCCAATAAAAAATCTTTAAAAAAAAAAAATTAAACATGGAATTACATATGATTCAGTAATTCTACTTCTAGGTATGTAACCAAAGGAATTGAAAGCCGAGAGATAAAAACGTTAGGACCCGCTGATGGTTTGGATGTGGGGAGTAATGGAAACAGGAAAATCAAGAACGATTTCAGGATTTGGGGCTTAAACATGAGAAGCATGATGACGTTCTTCGCTGAGGTGAGAAGGTTGGTTTAGGAGTAAGCCTGGAAGGACGGGGGTGCAGAGTTATGTTTCGGCTACGCCGAATTTTAGATCCACATGGCAATGTCAAGTAAACAGTTGGATACAGGAAGCCGGAGTGCAGAGAGAGGCCAGTGTTGTGGGCAGTATTGATCAGAAGCAGAATTTACTGAATTGGAAAAGGAAATGTGTCAGGGTCAGTTATTTGAAATGGATTATCTGAGGTCAGCGAATTCAAGGAAATTCTTTCGTTAGCCCACAGGCCAGTGGCTCCTCCTGCTGGCTTTGTTCATGGTCAGTAAATTAGCCAGCTGGTTCTTGTGGCCAGTTTGCCTCACCTGTCCTGCCTGATGCTGTCACTGCATGGTGGACCAGATGTAGATTTTTGGAATCCACAGGCTAGAGATGGCAACTCAGGCCATGGGACTGAATGAGGTTGTTGAGGAAAGGCAAAGTTGGACACTCTCCAACATCAGGGCAGGAGCCAGGAAAAGAGAGCAGAGCTGGGGGTGGGGTAGGGTGTGGCCAGAATGGGACCAGAATGAGAGCCAAGTGTAATGACTCATTGTTTGATGTTGATTAAGAGAAGAGGAGAAAAATGGCCAGTAGACCTGACAACAGGGATGACCGACCTTTAAGGCTTGTTGGAGTAGTGGTGCCAGCTTAGGGTGGATGAGAAAAGAGAACAGGATCATTAGACAACTCTTTCAAGGTGAGCTGGAAATGGGAAGAAGCTGGGGGAAGGGTGGGATCAAGAGATATTTTTGTTTGTGTGTGTGTTGAGGTGGGGGGGGGTATTAGAGCAGAGCTGTGTACTGAGCAGAACAATCCGAGGAAGGGTGAGAAATCAATGATGCGGGAGGCCCGTGCAATGGAAGTCAGGAGAACTGGGGAATGGAGCGAGGACAGAAGTCAGGTAGATGGAGGCTGAGAGGTGTGGGGAAGTGGGATGCACGAAACCAAGGCCTTGGAGCTGGCACAGGTATTGCTCAAGGTCAAGGGCTGAGCGTGGGAGTGGGCCGTCACTCTGACAAGAACCTGCTTCTGGAGGCAGAGGGAAGGGAGACCAGCTCCCCGCGTCCTTGTGTGCAGGCTCGATGATGAGGGGCCTCACTCTTGAGACTCTTCTCAGCTTGAAGCTAAAGAGGACATCTTTCTCTAGTGACCAGGATCCTCATACCAACCGGGGTTAGAGGTGAAAGTCGCTTAAGTGAAGGGGTCCCCAGTTAATGGAGCTCTGGTCATCCATATGTTCCAATCATGGGAATCAACAGATCGAGTTTATGAACAGGTTTCTCAGAGGTGTTGGGCTTCAGTCCACATCAGGAATTGCTGGAACATGAGAGCTCACACAGGGAGGGGAACACCCCCCTGACAAGACTTATCTGCCACCCTCCCCACCAGCACCACCCTTTCCTGCCCCCCTGTGCCCACCTTACACTCACATTCGTTTCTCTTCCCACCTGCAGCCATGCATGGTTGGCTTCCCTTACCTGCATACCTGACGTTTTTCAAGTGAGAAATGAAGTCGCTGTAATAAGTGTTTTCAGTGTATTCCTTGACCTGTAGGAGAAGCACAGAGAAGGTAATCTAAGTGATTACCTCCAGCACACAACGGTTAGGCGTTCTGGCTGACTGGGCAGCCCGTGTGGGCTGGGAGGAGGCCACATCCATGCCCCAGTTGTGTTGGGGACACAATCTGGCTGTTCTTTGCCACCAGCTGCCCGGGCTCACCAGTCTCTTCCGGGAAAACAAGATCTGAAGCATTGTGGCAGCTTCCGGGGAAAGGAGCTTCTTGGTGATGTACTCGGGAAATGGTCAAAGGTCACTATTAAAATATCCCAGTGACACTGTCAGGACTTGACTGGGCGCAGGAGGGCCAGATGTCCAGGGCAAAGCCGCTCCATTCTGCCCACTGCCAACCACTCTTCATTTTTTTGTATGTGCGTTGACCCCTTTTACAAGTCAGTAAAGTTGTTTTGGTGAAAAAGGTCTATTTTCAGTGGCTCTTTTCAGTCAGTGGTGTTGATCCAGTTCTCGCGCTATGTATAAATTCAGATTTCTTGGATTTAAACTGCCATTTGTTATTTGTTTTCTAAATGTGTCATGTCTTTTTTGTTCCTCTGTTCCATCTTTTGTGTTAAACAAATACTTTGAGTGTACCATTAAACCATGTTTAGTTATTTTCTTAGTGGTTGCACTAGAGATTACAATATACAACTTAACTTATCACAGTCTATGTCAGGTTTATATTAACTTAATTCCAGTAAAATATATGACTTTGCTCCAATATACAATAGCTCTATTTCTACCCTATCTTCTATTTTTGTTGTATGTAATTATATCTACATGTATTATAAACCCAACAACACAGTGCTATTATTATTGGTTTAAGCCATCTTATGGACTTTTTAAAGACAAAAAAATATGTGTATATGGTCTTTTGTATTTACTATTTCTGGCACTCTTCATTTCTTTCTATGGATTTAAATTACTGTCTGGTGTCATTTCCTTTCAGCCAGAAGGATTTTCTTTAACATTTCTTGTAGGACCAGTCTACTAGCAATGCTCTCAGTTTTGGTTTATCTGGGAATGTCTTTATTTTGCCTCATTTTTGAAGGGTGGTTTAGTTGGATATAGGCTTCCTGGTTGACAGTCATTCCACTGCCTTCTGATGACTTGTTTCTAATGAGAAGTCAGCTATTAATTGTACTGTGAGACTCAGCCATTAGTTGTACTGTCCGTCTGTATATATAATGAATCCTTTTTCTCTTGTTGCTTTCAGCAATTTGACTTTCATGTGTCTAGGTGTTTATCAGACGTGGAGTATGTTTAGTTTCTTGGACTAAGCAAGAAGTCCATAGACTACCATTGTTCTTACTCAAAAGTCTAGATACTTTTCACAAATAAATGCCTCAAATTGTTGTTTGCCTTGGTCCATTTCCAGAGCATTGATATGGTTGTTTGTGACAATTTTATCCAACCTAATAATCAGTTTCACTGAGTACTTCTATCCACCTAGCCATAAGTCCCACCCTCCAGGCTTCCTTAGAAATGCAGGGGTGTTGCCTTTGCCTGGAGGGTCGCAGGCTCCCCCTTCCCCTCAGACTACTTTATGTTCAGTCAACCCTTCTGAGATCCCAGGTCTTTTCAGTCAACTTGTCCAAGTTATCCAAGGTCCCCAAGGGGGATGACACAGAAGGAACATGGTGAGTGTAAGCCAGGGCTGGAAACTTTCCATCGAGTTAGTGTTTCCAAGAATTGTGAGTTCAGGAGTGGATGAGGAGAGACAGGAAGAAAGACCCTTTGTCTACACGTAACACCTTGTGTGGGTTCCAATCTATAGCTTCACATGCTTAGTTTCAGCCTACCTCAATGAGGGCTGCCAGCACAGCCAGACCATCCGGCTCGTTCTTGGCTATATCGTAGCTACTGTATTTAGAATTGTAGTGCACGACGTGAATCTGTGGGAGCAAGAAAAGGTGAGTCAAGGGCAGTTCATATAGACTTCTAATGCTTCAGGTTTTCAGGGAAGGAGGCAAAGAAAGATGCTTCATCCGAGGCCTCAGATGGTCCCACACAAACAATTGTGACCTCCATCTCCCTCCACCTAGGCTACAAGATCTATCAAGACCAGAAAGTTCTCCAAGAATGGAAAGAGCATGAGTGGGATTTTGGGAAGATGGCAATTCAAGGACATTTTCCTGATCCCACCTCCCTCCAAGCAAACAAGCTTGCAGAGTCCAGAGGTATCATATGAGGTCACTGGGTTCTCCTGAGGTCTCTATGGGGTGTACATGAGCCCTTTTGCCCCAGGAGGCCACTATAAGCCTGTGGTCACCCTAAGGGCGGATCTAAGCAAGAGTGGGAACCCAGAAAATATAACACATTGAAATCCAGCCAAAACTAAAGAGGGCTTGCCCCACTGTGTGGGCTGTGAACTCCTGCCTTGCTATGACTTCTGTGAGGGCAGGGACCCTGCCTGAGCTCCTGGCACGTAGCAGTGATCAATGAATAGCTGTGAATGAATGAAAACTAAGCTCAGCCTCGCGGTGACTTGGCTGTCACCACTGCACAAAGTCTTTTCAGCTGCTTTAATAAGAAAAGCGACCATGGGGGCTGGCTGAGTGGCTCAGTTGGTTAAGAGCTCGCTCAAGAGTTTGAGCTCTGAGCAACAGTGGTTCGAGTCAGCCCGAGCTGAGCAGCCGCGG